ATAAGTAGAGGCTGTCATGGTTTTTTGTGTATTTGTGATCCTATGTCTAAATGTCATTTTTAAGATGTGTTTGAGAGGAAAAGTAAATTAAAATATGTAAAATTAAAAAAAACAAGGAAGATATGTGACAATTTTGTGTTGCTGTTAGACACAGAGGAAAAGGCAACAAAGGAGGAATAGTAATAGAGTAGAGCTTTAGTTGTGCCACTAGTACTATCACATTTCTTTAAAAATAAAGACCTAATGCAAATATGACAAAGGATTTACAAAAATATTAAGTTTACTACTTGTTAGCTGTGTTATACTGGGCAAATTACTTGTCCTTCATCAGTCTTAATGTCCCTGTCTATAAGCAGGAATAATAATTGTACCTGTGAATCATTGACTTAGAGGACCAAATAAAATAATTTACACCAATTTTTTTGCTTCATAACCACTCCCCCTATATTCTAATTGTTGTTACAACAAGCAGTAAAATGTCAAAAACATGTTTGCTGCTGTGGGTCAGTAAGGGCAAATGAGAAGAGGTACATTCCAGACAGAGATGACATCCGGCACTTCAGAGAAGAAGGAACTCTGATGAGTGAACAGGGCTCTGAGGGTGCCCATTGGGCAGCGTGAGAGCATGGTTGGATGTTGTCTTTTTATTATGGTGCACTATGGAGGGCAGGATCTGTATGTATGAGTTTGTGTATTTGTGTGAGTTCATGTTTATTTGGATGGTGAGTAATGACTACCTTATCTGGCACAAAGCATTTTGTGATTTGGCTTCTTCTAAGTATGAATCAACTCCAGATTTCCAGTGAAAGAAATAGTACTTCAAATACTCTGCTGTTTTTCTAGTCACAGCCTTTGGAAAAGCAGCAGATTATGGAACTCAGGTACTGTCAGAATTGGTAAAAAAAAAAAAAGTCACAGTCCTCTCTTTTTATCCTTGAGCCAAATGTGGAAGGAAAGTCATTAGCTTTATAGACCTGTCCACAGGTTAGGAAAATGAGAGCAAAGTCCGACTTCTCTTCGTTGCGTATCCCTTTATAGTAACTACCTGCACTTTACTGTTCAAAGTTCAAGGGAGTGATAAGAAAAAGAAAATGACAGTTTAAGTGACATTTCAAAATGTGGCCGTGGTGTGTGTGTATTACCCTCACCAGTGAAAATTAGACACATTTTGTTTGTTCTGCCATCAGATATAGCCTATTGACCTGTAAGTAGTTCCAGTACCAGGGATTGAAGTTGGGACCTTGTGCTTACTAGGAAAGTGCTTATGCTGTTCTATCCCTGACTTTTCAGTGTTCTTAAGAGTTTTCTTCTTGCAATTAGGCCAAAACTACAATAGTATTAATTTTACACTCTGGTATAAATGTACTTAAATTAGTGGTGTAAATTTACTTTGGACGTTAAATTATTGATAGCTTATTTCTATAAAATGTTTGGGCCTGTTAATTTCATCCAATTCTGGCTCATTGATTTTTCATATGACCAGTGCCCCTAGTCATTCTGTATAACTTATTCTGTATATGCTTTTCCTAAGGTAATTATCTACTCATAAATCTGCCTCCCAGTTGCTTGTTTCTGCTATAGCTTTCTACCTTCTGCTCCAACATTTAGAGCCTCTCAGTTTTGACAATTCAGAGTCCATTCTACTTTGTTTCACACTACCGTATTTGTGTAGTGACTCATCTGTCCCATCCTTCCCTGCCAAGCATGATGATCCAAGCATGACTTAACAGCTAATTAGTAGGTTAGTGCTTAATATCTCAGAATCTCTGCTTTCTTGAGTTCATTGGGGCATCTTGAAATGTGAGCAGACATAAGAAGTTGTGCATATAATTATATTTATAGCCAGGGTTAAGGTGAGAAGACTTAAATTTGTGAATGGTTTTGGAGAAAATGTTCAATAATGATGTTATTTGCACATATTAGAGAAAAATCAAGGAGGTAGAAAATAAAACTAATAGCTTTCATAAAATGAATCTAAGTCTACTTACTTGTTATGGCTAATTTTGTTGTATGTACAATAACACACACACACACAGGTCAGATGAAATTGACTAAATTTTATCTGCTTACAATGTGACACTGTGTTCAGCTATACTCATACTTGTGTTATTGATAATGAGCTTTTGCTCACATGTGAAAACAAACAAAGAACATCACTCTGGTATTTCTGAGAATAACCACTAAGCTAGCACCTTTCATGGTGTATCTGTTGGGCAGTTGTATTTGATTGATCACTGTGGACTTGTGACACTGCCAGTCTTGTGGATGACCAACTACTATTATAGACTACTGGACTATATTGGATCACTCTGCTGAATTCATGCACCTACAATATATGAATGGCAATGGAATACCCATCTCTGACAAAAGTAAACAAAAAAGGGGATATAAATGGACCATTTTGTAGTAGAAAAATATATATTTGCATATAAAAATAGCATAAATATACAGTTACTTTCTCTTAGTTCAATGAAAAGAAGGTTTTGAACTAACAGTGTTTAGACAAGATATCATGTCTGCATCTTGTACTAGGAATGACTACTACAAAGACAACAATATGCAATGTATTAATTATTGTAACTGTACTACTAACCTGTTTTGAAACTGTCTCATTGCTACTTCTTTCTCAATAAAATTATTAAATTATAAAAAAATCACTGTGAGCACAAAGCAGAAGGAAAGACAGCATAAAAATAAATGGTATAAATTTTCTGAAGCAGTACGAAAGTTGTTTCTCAGTACTCAGCATATACTCAGCTTATGTTTACTGTATATGCCTTTTCTTTATTGTATTTACCACCTTGGGTTCCTGGGAGATTAAATCTGCACAAGTGTCGAGACATACTAATATGATGAACTTTAAAATGTCATTTTCCTTTTTTTATCACCAATTATTATCATTTAAAGTTGTTATGAAAGTTTTGTGACAGAGGTTATACTAAAATTGAAAGTATATGAACTTACTGAAAATCATGTAAAATTTAGCAATGTTTTTAATGTGGTTTCTCAGATTGATTAATTTATGCAATTGAGTTGTTCTACTCTCTTGTAAACACACATTCATACTTTGCAAACTTGCTCATCTGCAAAATAAAGTGTGGTATTTGTGATATTACCATAGTTTCATCAAGAAGGGTAACTCAGTCAAGTTACCTTTTAAATACCACTTCATAAGCCATTATATATCACCTTCCTGTTTCAATACTGTAGAAATTGATTCCATAATGGTCTTAAAGGCCAAAGTATTTTAAACTTAATAACTTTAAAGCACCTTGACATTTATGAAGTGTTGTCACATTCATTTGAAAATAGTTTGAAGTTGTTATAAAGTTTAACAGTATATGAAAGCACTTTACCAAAAGATGCAACAGTTTTGGATGTGGTAAAATATTTTTAGGAATGTGTATGTCTTTTCTTGGATTAGAACCATGACATGGCTATATACACTTACTTTTCAATCTGAATTTTAATGATTATAGAAATCATGGTATACTCTTTATTGCTCTTTCCTTTTCGTATGTCATTATTTATGCCATTGTTACCTTTAGCATTTGTGAGTACTCACTACATGTAGTGAGAACCAGGTTCGTTGCTAGGAACACAAATAGTGAGAAAGAAGAATACAAAACTAATTATAGTATTGGTGGAGTGGTCATGAAAAGATTCTTGAAAGAGGTAGACTGTTTGGGCTATTTAGGGTACACTTATAGTCAGTCTCACATTAATTTTAGAACCAGCTTTTGAAATTCTACAAAAAATACAATTAGAATTCTGATGGAGATTACATTGAATCTAGAGCACTCTGAGGCTTATAGCTATTTTTAAAAATGTCAAATTTTCTAACACATAAACATTGCATGTCTTTCCATTTTTTAGGTGTCAAGTACTTTTGCAATATTTTATAGCTTTCATTGTACACATCTTTTGACTCTGGTTAAATTTGTTCCTAAGTATTTTATCCTTTTTGATGCTATTATAAATGGAATAATTTTCTGGAAGTGGAGTTGTTCACTGCTAGTGCATAGAAACATCATTGATTTTTGTTTATTGATATTATATACAGTCACTTTGCTGAATTTGTTTATTACCCTCAGTGATGGGTTCATTGGGGTCTTCTACTATAGAATCATGTCCTCATCAAATAGAAATAGCTTAGTTTTACTCATTCATTTTCAATTTACATGCCTGGCTAAGAGTACTGGGCCATAGTTGGATAAAAATAATGAAAGTATCATTCTCATCTGTTCCTGATCTTGGAGTAGGTGGGTTTCATGTCAGCTGTGGATATTTCATACATGCTTTGTATCAGGCTAAGAAGGTCCTTTCCTTTTTTAGTTTGTTTAGGTTTTCTCCTCATGAAAAGTTGTCACATTTTGTAAAATGCTTGTTACGTATCTATTAGATTATATGATATGACAGGGATTCTCAATTAATCTTTTCAGGACAAGGAGGGAAATATTCAGAGCATACCTGATCCTATGAAAATCTGAAGTAGTAACTGAATACAGGTGAGATGAAGCTGAGATAAGAACCACCTTTATGTACTCACCTATCCAACTGCAGCTCCTTGACTAGAGGTCCATTCTACCATGTTGGGTATTACCCTTCCCAAGGTCTTGGAAACCAAAGTTTCTATTGGTTTGCTGGCAGTCCCCATGTCTGTCACACTGTCTTTTCTCTTGTAGGTGGCGCTATGACAAGTCTAGTTCCAGTAGTCCTTGTGGCATGATGGCACAAAAGCCTGACGCCTGCTTAGAGCGTCTCTCTGTCGCATAGCATGACGTCATGCTGTAGAGCGTCTCTCTGTGACGTGTCATTGCCAGAGAGAGGTTGCTGTGGTGAGAGGATCGAGTTTGTTGGTAGGAATGAAGGTTAGAGGGAAGTGGGAGACCTCACCAAACCCACGAGTGGCAAAGGACTAATGAAGAACTTAGTTGGGAGGTAGAGGGAAACAGCTTGACAGCAGCAGCCTTTTTATTGATATCAGAGCTTCAGCAGCCATGGCCGTCGGATTTGCGGACCCCGCCAATGGTTTTCGCTACATTGAGGTGGTACGATTTATCAACGATGAAATTTTAATGAATGGTGGGGGCCAAGACTTCTACTCGATCTTCCACTTGCGATCCTGGAATGAGATAGAGGATGGCCTTCATAATACCTTAAGTGACCAGCACATGCCGCGTAACCACAAGAGGGCATGTGCCTGGAGTGCGCTAGCCTTGGCAGTGCGGGCACTTGCCAGACAGCGGGAACAACACTTGCGTCTTGTCAGGGAGCTGAAGGAACAGTTGGGAAGCCGAGAGGCGCTTTGTTGGGCCTTGGCATCAGAGATGCAGCAGCTGCGCCAGCAGCGAGACCAGGCCACGGCACAGCTGTCCCTTGCAAGATCTGCCCTGCAGCGGGCACAAAGTGAGTGTGATGCATTCCGAGAGAAGCTATTCCAGTATGAACAGTTTGCGCAGCTTGTCCCGCTAGCACAAGGTATAGTAACTGGGACACATGCTGAGCAATTTGGGCCTGCAGCCTGGCCCATAAATTCTGAGCAGCAAAGAGATGTATGGGCTATGAGAGAGCATGGAAACATATTTTCTGAAACTCCAGTACCAAACCAAACAAGGGCTGTTTACCTGCCAAGTTTGTGGGGCCCAAATATGCTGTCTCCTTTTCCAGCCCTAGTACCTCAGTTCTTCCCATTGCATGCACCTTTCCCAATGAATTTACCATCCTTGCCATGTCCAGCACCTATAATAGTCACCGAAAAAGAGGCTGGAGTCCCATTTCAGATGCCCCCTGTGGGAATCTACGCACTTGGTCTATCTGCTTCAGGAGGGTCCCAGGAGGAGATGGCACCTCTGTGGGACCAGAGTCACTATGACCAGGTGGAAGACCCTGTGATGCTACAAGAATCAGTCCTCCCAGGAGACAACAGAAGCCTCAGCCAGAAAGAAGATCTTCAGAGGTCTCAGAGAAGGATACAAGAGGAAGATCCAGAGATGTCCCTGGAAATGACACACCTGGAGGACAGAGGGAACCATAACCAAGAAGAAGGTCCACTGTGCTTCCAGAGATTGCCTTTCCTCGGAGAAAATTGCCATCATAGCCAAGGAGATCAAGGGAGGCCTGAGGGTATAGCTTCCCTGAGGAACAGCAGAAAGTGCATGCAGGAAGAAGGTGAGGAGGGAGACCAGGGTAAGGCACCCCCAGGTTTCAGTGTTACTCACAAGCAGGCAAAATATATAGAGAGGGCTGAGGGCATGACTTATCTAGGCCTCAGCAGGAGCCCTATCAGGGGAAATGATACTGAATGCATTCAGCCAATGACATCTCCAGGGACTGGAAAAAGCCCTACCCAAGGATGTGTAGAAAAAGCTCAAGTTGGGATATCCTCAAAGTTCAGTACCACCCAGAAAGATGCAGAAAGACCCCAGTGTATGACAGCCTCAGCATTGAGAAATAACAACCAGGAAGAAAATACAAAGAGAATCAAGACCACTGTGCAGAAGAGCTGGAGTCAAGCTGTGAGAGAAAGCCCCAAGAAACAGCAGCCCCAGCAGGGGAAAGCCAAGAAAGCACAAGCAATAAAAGCTGTGGAATCCCAACAACAGAAGTGTGTTTCATGCTCTAGCCCAGTAAGTTGGGTCTGCATGTGGTGTAGAGTGATAAATTTTCCATGGCGCAGGGCCTGTTATAAGTGCAAGAAGGTCCGTTCAGCAGCTGAGAGTGGAGATGCTGACCCTGGACACACTCACTAATTTCAGGAAGGTAAGTGAGAATGGAAGTACTCTAAAGAAATGTTCTAAGTCCTCTTTCTTATAAAAAAAATCAATTTACTTATTTCACAGAGAATTTGAAATTAAAATATCATTGAAAAAATAAGTAATTCATTACTCCATTATCCAAATTAATCACTTTTTATCATTGTGGGCACACATACATACAACTATGTATATGTTTATATTCTTATTATATTTGTTTACTTCAACAAAGAGGGACTCTGAATATTACAGTCTTTAAACTGAGGATTTCTCCTAATTAGATGTAAATTTTGCAGGTGGTGGATTCTTGATGGCTGTTACTGACTGGTGGATGCCCTGGAGAAGTTGAAGTCATGAAGCCTTTTCTCTCACCCCTTTGTTGCTTTCTCTCTTTTCTAAAGCTTGTCATCTGTTTGATTGACAACAGCCATCTGATTTCAAGCTATGCTGAATTTTAGGAACCCCACTTTTATTAACAATGCTATCATTATTTTGGAAACTGCTACAGTGTTCATGTTTACGTCTTTTGGGGTTTTAAATTTTATAGGTGGGTTCTTGTTTTTTTGTGTCTAATTCCTATCATATTTGGTTGTTGCTAAAAAAGCTGAACCTGTATCATTGGAAAATCTCTCTAGAGCTGGAAGACATACCAGTAACACTTTGATTCTGGTAGACTCAGACGTCAGTGAGCCCCCTCCCTCTGCCCCACTTGGAATCAATGTGTGAAAAGTCAGCTCCTGGAAGAAGAGCTTCCCTGACATTCACTGTGGGAACAATCGAGAACAAAATAGTTTTGTTAGAATTAAATTTCTCTATGGGGACAAGATTAACCTGGAAGAGTTTGATGGGTTAAATACTATATGTGACAAAAGCTTTGATTCATTTCATTAAACAAATAATTATTAATTGCTTAATTTTTAGGAATTAGAACTATATGATATTATCTGGTGTACTCATCATAATCTTTTTGGTGAGTTTGGTTAGACGACAAGAGAGCGTAATTTAGGATACACATTAAATCAGGAGTGTCTTTGCCTTGCATATATCATACCTTGGGTAAAACCAGTGGAAATAACACCCAAATCCATTTTTGCAGTTCTGAGGGGAAATGTGAAAGCAAGTTTCATGGATGGATTGGTGTGACTAAATTGCTCACTGCCTTCATTTCAAGTGAGACAAAGGAGCAGTGGGCAGAGATCAAGAAGGTAGCCTTGTGAAAGCACAGGCTTTGATGCTTTGCTGATGTTCCCTTTTGAGAGTCTGAGCCTTTTTCATGGCTATCCACCAGGTTTCCAGTGGTTTTCTTAAAGAAAGACAGTACTTGGAGGAGAGCTGACTATACACTCTAGTCCTCAGCCAATGACTGCTCCCATCCCAAGCCTTTTTCCAGTCACCAGTGCATGAAAAACCAAATGGGTTATAAAGATACATTAAGGCTCCTGGGCTGTATATGGATGATGCTTCTCTTGCAAGGATTAATTGAGTTAAAAATAGAACTGTACTAGGAAGAGCAGGCAGGAGTTAGATCTAACTTGTCTGAACAAAAGGTGTCCCTGAGTTCCTCCAGCTGACTAAGATTAGTTGTTGTCAGGTGTTTTTGACATCTTTTAAAAAATGTATTTGGTACACAGCTCTAACTCGTAGTGATTCTCTTAGTTTCAGCCTCCTCAGCTCTGGGATTACGGGTATGTGCCACCACACCTTGTCTTGATGGCTGGCTCGGCATGCCAGGGGGCAGGGCTGGCACAGCCTGCTGTACTGGGGATCAAACGCTGGTCCCTGTGCTTGCTTAAGCAGGCACTTAGTCTGCTGCGCTATCTCACTGGCTTTGTCAGAGTTGTTTAAAAATTAATTTTATTGAGAAACAAACAGCAATGAGACAGTTTCAAAACTGATTAATAGGACAGTTTCAATAATTAATACATTGATATTATTGTCATCATAGTAGTTATTCATAGCACAAGATTCAGACCTGATATCCTGTCCAAACACTATTAGTACAAATCTTTCTTCTCATTGAATTAAGAGAAACTAGCTGTATCTCTATCCTATTTATGCAGATACAAAATGGTCCATCATTTGAATCCCCCTTTTTTGTTTAGTTTTGTCAGAGAAAGGTATTCCACTGCCATTTAAATATTGTAGGTGCATGAACTCAGGAAAATATTCCAATATAGTCCAGTAGTCCATAATAGTAGTGGGTTATCCATAGGACTGGCAATGTCAGAAGTTGTTGACTTGAGCCTTTTATAGCTCAGCATATTAATATGGCTTTACCTTTTGTACCTCATTTTTATACTTTTCTGCTGGATGGTTAAGACCTAGATAAAGCAAAACCTATATACCAAGAAATGTAACTTTTGTATCTGGCAAGTTGAATCAAATCCCCTCAGGATTTACCCCGAAACCCTGTACTGCACTTTGTAGATCCTTTGTTAGTGCCAGCCATGTGGATGAGTCACGGCCATTGCTAGAACAATTTGCTCTTTGTGAAAGTCTGAGAGAATGTTTTCTCTTCAGGTGACTCTCCTTAGGCACACTCTACATCATCAATCACTTTCCTCTGTGTCCCCATAATCTCTTTGATCAGAAAATTTGGGACACAACTGAGTTACAAGATGTTACAGTACAGGTTCTCCTATGTCTTGAGTCCTCACTGACCTTGAAAGGCTAGGGCCAAAATGCTGGCTGTCCTTGCAGCCCTTCTTTTTCTCCAATTTTTGGTCTGAAAACTTGAGTTGTTAACCCCCCAGAAGAGAAGCTTAATGATATTATTACCCTATAACATAAGCAGTTGAGCTTAACCTCACTATGTCAAGGGGTTTTGATCTAGCTAGTAATAAACTGTGAATTTTTGTATTATATCTGCTGTATGGTATATATCTCAGGGCAGGTTTTCTCAGAAGTAGCAGCTCAAATCTTCGTCTTCATGCTCACTAAGGTGAGGGAAAGTTCAATATCATTCAGTGATGGAAGGCTTCTCTTTCCACAAGTCATCTAAGAATTGGGAACACTTCTGAGGGGCCTTAAATCCAGTGTGATTTTACCTGCTCAGCTCACTTTCCAAGTCCACTCGGTTCTTTGAAGATGGGGCTGTCTGCTGATCCAGGGCTGGTGGAATACAGGGACTCTGTCTAGGCTGGAGTACTACTGCCTGGAGCCTAGCATCCCTCTGTGGATAAGAAAGCCATTCTCTGAATCTCCTTGAAATCCCTTGATATTCCACGAGTAAACCCTGGCTGCTGCACTCTGCCAAAGCAGACGCTTTGGTCCACTGAGCTGTCTGGCTGGCCCTTCTGCTTTTTTTCAAGACAGGGTTCTGCTATGTAGTTCAGGTTGGCCCCAAACTCACTTTGTAGGCCATGTTGGCCTAAAATTATCACTGCAATTTTCTGCCTCAACTTCCCTAGTTCTGGGATTATAGGCCTTCACCATCCCATCAGGCTCCATCTCTGCTTTTAGATGCCTAAAGATGCCAAGTCACCCCCTCTCCTCTCCAGGCCTCTCAGGAGAGTCTACCCATTCAGCAGCAGCTTGCTATTTTATTGCTGCTCCCTACTTTTTTTTCCTCTTAAGGGCATTTTCTTGTGGCTTTTTTCTTTTCTTTTGTACTACGTGGTGAACCCAGAGCTTCACACTGAACTCTATCCCCAACACTTTTTATATTTACAGGAGGGTCTCCTGTAGTTCAGGCTGGCAGTCTTAATCTCACAATGTAGTACAGGCTGGCCTCAAATTCACAGCAATGCTCTCTCAGTTTTCTGAGTGCTAGGATCTCAGTCATGTGCCAGCAAACCCACCTTAATTTTTATTTTATTTTGAGACTTTTTTTTTCTTTTTTTGTGGAACTGGGGATTGAACTCAGGCCATTGCGCTTGCCAGGGAAGTGCTTATTCTACTGAGCCATCTCCCCAGCCCTTGAGACTGGTTCTTGCTAAATCACTAAGTTGCTCAGGCTGGGCTAGAAATTGTGATCTTCCTGCCTCAGCCTCCCAGAGTGCTGGGATTACAGGCTTCTACTGTTACATCCAGCTCCTTGTCTTGTGAAAGCCTCCTGCCCCACACTTCCCTGCTTTAATGTGCAAACTTTGGCCAGGCCTGTCCCACGTGTTGGATGCAACACCTCATCTCAAATGCTCAGACCAACATGGTCTTGATCTGTCTGTGGGAGGGGAGTCCCTGACCTGGTGTGGCCCCAATGTAGGAGCCAGGCAATGGGGAACCTGGGGGAGGAGCAGCCTTTACAGGGTCAGGGCCAGGGCTGGTCAAGGTCCTTGGCCTGGAACCATAAAGGCCTGTTGTGGAGGAGGCTGGAAGGAATGTGGCTTGGGGAGTAGGGCACAGGGTGGGGCTGGGAAGGAGCTTCCTCTTACCTGGCCAGATGGTTTGCATTTCCCTGGAGCAAGGCTGGTGGTGGGCAGGAGGGCGATAGGACATAGCCAGGTAGAGTGAGGTCCTGGTACCCAGCGGCAGCATGACAAGGCAGTATTGTTTTTCTTCTGTGCTTTGGATTCTGGGAAGCAGCCACACTGCTTATAGCACGTATTTCATGTGAGGCTAAGGAGTGTGGAAGCTAGTTACTTGCTTGGAATAGGGGCAGGAATGGAGCTGAGAACAAAAGTGATTGCTTCACCAGCACTCTCACTCCCCTTAGACTTGTGATTATTGGGAGGGCCTTTCTTACTTGAGAAAGAGTGCTGGAGAAGAAGAGATTTATGTTGGTCACTACTGGGAAAAACCCCGGTAATATCCACAAATGAAAGGAGTAAAGGTGTATTTTGGCTTATACTTTCAGAGGTTTCAGCCCATATTTGGCTGGCTCCAAGGCAGACATTATGGTGGAGGGAGTGTGGTGCAGCAGACCTGCTATTTCACTGAAACAGGAGGGAGAGCACCAGGAAAGGAAAGAGCCTCAGAGAGGGAGGGCTAGGACATGGTGTGCTCCTCCAGGTCACACACCCATTACCCATTTCCTCCAACTAAGCCCCAGTCTCCTA